AGGATACAACCAATGGACCCCTCAAGGATGAGGAGTGAAGGGTGGAGAAGAGGAAAATTGTATTTCATGTGCCAGAAGTGACACAGAAAGCACTTCCATAATTCACCGGGTAGGTTCTTTGAGAAAACCTGGTGAGGGTCACTTACATCTGAGGTTTGTGAACTTTGGGGAATGAAGTGTACAAATTCAGTGCTCTTATTGCACTCTGGGGGCTCTTTTGTGTTGTGGGGTTTTGTTGGGTTTTTCCATGCACATGTGTGAAGTAGCATTTTATTTTAATTCCCCCAAGTTGCCTTTTTCTTTCTCTCTCCTTTTTCACTCCCCTGTGGTTTGAATTGCCTAAGACTTCAGAAAGTAGCTGGTCCTGCTTTAAACTCCTCTTCTCACACAACCCCTGTGGTTCACACCTGTGTTTCAGTGTTTGGCTGCCTGGAGGGAAATGGTTGCCTGTGGACTCGGGGATTTTGATGCTTTTACCTTTTTGAGCAACATGGTGTTTGTTCTAAAAGTAACCTCAACTCTAATAAGCCAATTATTTATAATTTATAATATGCTGTTCATCCTCTACACTGACAGAGGGGGTGGTGTAAATCTGTGAGTGGAAATGTGACTTCTTAAAAACCCTTTTCTGCTGTTCCTCCCGATGTTCAGTTCCTCCTTCTTTTTTTCTTTATTCTCCTTCCTGTCTGTCTCGATGAGCAGGGAGGGCCTAGTGGATTGTAGAATTGATTTCCGAGATCAGCTTTCGGTCTTGAGAGGTATTTTAAACTTAATTGTTAAAAATCTTTGAGAATTAAAATTACAGGTTTTTTGTTGAACAAAATCACTTTTCCTCTCAATTTTTACATATGTGGTGCTTTTCTATGCCAAAGTGCAAATTATTAAAGACTTCAGAAATAATCTGGCAGTGTTGAAGTGTCCAAAGCACAATCAATAAACACCGTGCTCCTCTCACAGTCTACACATACCTCTGTCCTCCAGAGAGCGAAGGATTCATCACTGGGTGGGCTCAGAAACACAGGCATCGTACGAGCTCTTCTGTCATACATCGGTGAGGGCTGACTCCGGAGAACCTTCCACTCCAGGCTGATTATCTCTTCTACTGAACCCCAACTGCTTTTTTCTCCAGCTCTGTCTGAAGAGCATGCATAGCCAATAAAAGGAAGCTAAATGACACACAAATGAGGGGAAAAAATATACTACTTTTGTTTTTCAATTAAGAAAAGACAGCTCCCAAACAATGCGCCTCTGGCACTGAGGCGCGTGCAATCGCCCTAAATGGGCAAAAAAGCAAGTAGTATCTTTGTCAGCAACAATGGTCTAGCTTTTGGTTCTGGGTCTTCCAGAGCTGGAGCCAACTGGTAGATAATGTTAGGGAAGATCTCCAAGTAACTCCCCCTGCCCCAATCCCCAGAAAGATGCAGCTTTTCCATTGTCTTTCTTCAGCTTTCTGGTTCCACATACCTAAGAAACATTGAAAACTCAGTTGCAGACCAAAACCCTGCAACACCCTTTATTACAACAGCAACAACAACAACAAAGTGACGTCCAGTCTCAACTCTTAACACCCAGCCTCAAAATTATGTTTAGCAAATGGATGAAAGTGCAGCAGCATTACATCTGGCTGAGGTTGCTGCTCAGCCAAAGTAGATGCATGAAAGACCTTCCATGAGCATTACCCTTTATTTCTGCCTATGCAGTGCCACATTTGGATGGGTTGGTGTTGTCTGGCTGCCCTTGTCACAGCTGTATGGCTTGGTTGGACAGCTCTCTTTTGACACCTGGGATGGTGCAGGTTTGTCTCTTTTTGTACTGATCTTTGGTCAAGCTGATCTTTTAAGTTTGGCATTTTCATTTTCCCAGCAGGAGGTTTGGCTGGAAAGGCTAGAAGCAAAGTTTTTGAGATGAACAGAATTGATTGAGATCAAATGCTGGTGTTGTACAGCATCCTTTTTTTTTTTTTTTTAATGTTATTCTTTATCTTAAGACATACAACACTGATCCCTTTAATGCAGGCATGAAAGTGATTGGTTGAAGGAGGGAAGAGATGGTTTGAACTGTAAAGAACAAGCAGACAACATTGTCTTAAGCTTTGATGGTCGGACACTATGAAATTCCTTTTTGAAGAGCCAGAGAAAGGCTTCCAAGCCCCCAAGTATGTCTGATTTTACCAACTCTATCAGCTGGTCTAAAAAGATATCACCTCCTTGCTTCGTTTGGCATGAATGAAGTGATTTATGGAAACTGGAGGAAAACATTCTTTACAATTCCCATTGGCACACCAGAGGAGAAGTGGATAAAATAAAACTTTATAAAGCCAAGAGTCTAGCAGTGCCCTCTTCTTGGTGGAATAAAGCCCTCTTCTTGGTGGAATAAAGCCTCCATGCTTAGGCTGACATCCTTCTTTGGTGCCTCAGGGGTTAAACCCTCTTCAGAGAGTATTAGTGGGGAAAAAGGAAACTGAAAGCTGTGCTGAAAAGCTAGTAGGTGAGCCTGGGAGTTGCCTGATCTATTTTATCTTTAAAAGGGCAAGCTCTGAATCAAGCAACATGAAGATGGAGTGAGATGTGAAAGCTTGACAGTCACACATACAGGAAATCTTGAATTATCTCTGAGCTTCCTGGAAAATGACGTAGTGAGGTTATCGTAGTATTTACTCAGTGATGATCCCACAGTTCTTACTGATCACCTTTAAATAAAGTGTTCACTACCAGCACCTCAGTCTTGGGTGGAAATGGGCTCGGTTGGGTTTGTTGGAAATGCTTGGCAGCGTCACCTGGCAATGATGAATAACTGAGCACAGGGAATGGAGCCTGGGCTGTTTTCTTTATCATGGGGGAAAAGGTTTGCTTTGTACAGGGAATGTTTTTATACATTCCTGGCAGAGGCTGACAAACTTCAAACTCTTCTAGTCCCCAAGCCATTTAAAAATGTCTTCTTTAAATAGAGCATTGTAGAAGGAGCACTGCTATGTCTTTAAGTCAGAGTCTGTCTTTTTTCAGGGGGAGGAGATAGCAGGAAGGGATGGAAAGCTGCTCATCTCCTCCTAACCCCATGCTGCTTTAAGAACGTGCAGGAATTGGGCAGGGTTTTTAATTCTTGCTAGCCCCATGCTCCCTTTCTTGCTCTTATCTGTCTGAAGTGAAAGGAAGCGTGTCTGCTGTGAACACTGGAATAGCAAAGCCCCCTGCTCGCCCCCCAAACCCATGTGAACAGCTCCAGAGTAGTCCATGGAAGTGACACTAGGGAGCAGAGAAAAGCCAGACTTCGGCAGTAGTGCTAAATTTCAGAGGTTTTGTTCACCCGAGATTCCAGGCGCAGGAATTGCTGGTAGCTGGCCAAGGAGCTTGGATGGCAGCCTACCTGTTCCTCAGCTCTGCTCAGCCTGCTCCCTCCCCCCGCCTTTCTTTTTTTAATTGCATAATATGCTAGAAAATTATCTGGATTTAGGACTTATTTTTAACCAGAAGAGGCTCGCTTCACCCGATCTGGTTTTCAATTTACCACCCAGCAAATGCTCTCTGAAGCTCTGGTAGCACTGAAACCCTGACTTCTTTAGCCTCTTCCTTCTGCTTTCCAAGGGTCTCTTTGCTCTTAAATGTTTGTCAGTCATTTTTGGTGATGGTAAACTATGTTGTCTGTCTGCTGAACTGGTGTGCGACCATCAAACTGTGTTAGACCTGCCTGGTGCAGTTGTTTTGCAGGCACTAATCCTACTGGGTGGATTGGGTATTGTACTCAAATAAGGAAGGCAAATTTTGTCTCCCAGATGATAGCTGCATAATGTGAGAAGGGGTCTGGGGTAAAAATCTCTATGACCATTGCAACTTCTTTCTGGATACCTGTGGCTAGAAAGCCTCTTCCACTTTTTGGGGTTTTTTTAGTTTATTTTTGGCGGTTTTTGTTTTTGTTGTTGTTGGGTTGGGTTTTTTTTTTCCGTCTTTAAAGAAGGCAGACTTCTTCATGCCAGAAGAATTTGTTAAACAGAGGGAAGGATACAAGAATGAACAGGGAGCTCCTTGTGATCATATTAAAAGAGTGAGCGGGTTAGAGCTCCAGCACCTCACCACTCTACCTGAGAAAATGAGGGAGCATAATGCTAGGTCATGCTACTGTCACAGCACAACAACTCCTTCATTCCTCTGTGTTTGGGGGATCTTGGTGTCACAAAAATAATGGTGACAAAATGATGTTCGGACTGTGCTGTGTAGAGGAGCATTACCAGGCACTCTGAAACATCCTGGAAGAGATGGCACTGGGGACTGAACTGCCCTACTTAATCTTAGCTCAGAAATTATTTATAATGTGGGGCAAGTTTGGTAAAATCCCCTTTGTTTCCTTCAAAATCTGCCATCTGACCAGCAGCAGAGTGTAGTGCAGAGAGTGGTCTTGGGGATTAGAGTAAAAGACTTGACAGATCTTCTTCTTCATCTGTAATTTATCTAATTCTGAGTATAATAACTGCATTTCCTGCTCTGGTACTTTAGTCCTTAGCTAAATAAACCCATATGTGTATATCCTGGTGTACCAAAGGGCTGGTCTCCCAACCTCACTGGGGAAGTTTCTCTCAACGCACAATTGCTTGAGCCTCACTTCCCTTCCCCGGTGAACACCTTTTCAATAAAAAGAGGAAATTCATTGTGAGAACTTCAGTGCTTTACATTTTTATTCCCAGGCATAGCACTGCCTCAGTCAGGGAATGTAAGGAAACGTTCAGTACAGTGCCTGTGGCTTGTGCTCCTATGGACAGGTATTTGCTTAATGTAAGGAAGAGGAAATTTGCTGCCAGGCATGCCGGATCTTGACTATTATAGATGCTGTCTGAATTCCTGCTTGGAATTCACCAGCACAGCCATGCCTAAACATGGATAGACCAGAGCCCTGTGTTAGGGTGGCTGCTGCTTGCCCATCACGCTGCTGTGGGCCAAGGCTGACTTATTGATGGGGACAGATGTGCACCTGCTTTGCTGCCTTCATCAGTCTCCTCTCTTCCCTTGCAGATATATGTTGGGGAAAGGAGGAAAGCGGAAGTTTGACGAGCATGAAGATGGGTTGGAAGGCAAAGTGGTGTCTCCCACTGACGGTCCCTCTAAGGTGTCTTACACCTTACAGCGTCAGACTATCTTCAACATTTCCCTTATGAAACTTTATAACCACAGGCCATTAACCGAGCCAAGCTTGCAAAAGACAGTTTTAATTAACAACATGTTGAGGCGAATCCAGGAAGAACTCAAACAAGAAGGCAGCTTGAGGCCCATGTTTGTGGGCGCTTCGCAGCCTGCCGACCCTCTCAGCGACAACTTCCGCGAGGCGCAGCCGGCGTTCAGCCACCTGGCCTCGCCGCCCCTGCTCCCCGCCGACCTGGTAAGCACTATGCCCCTGGAGTCCTGCCTCACCCCGGCCTCCTTGCTCGAGGACGACACTTTTTGCACTTCCCCGGCTGTCCAGCACGATGGTCCGACGAAGCCACCACCTCCTGCTCTCCAGCCAGTAAAGGACAGCTTCTCCTCAGCCTTGGACGAAATCGAGGAGCTTTGTCCAGCACCTACCTCCGCAGAGGCAGTAGCAGCTGAACCGGCAGCCGATGACTCGAAAGCCCAGCCCAGCGAGTCCAACATCCACAAGCCCGAGGGCCTCCCGGAGAGCAGAACGGCTGAATCCAAACTCATGGACCCCCTGCCTGGCAATTTTGAGATAACAGCTTCCACAGGTTTCCTCACAGACTTGACCCTGGATGACATTCTGTTTGCTGACATTGATACGTCCATGTATGATTTTGACCCCTGCACGTCTGCCACGGGGGCTGCCTCAAAAATGGCTCCTGTCTCAGCAGATGAGCTCCTAAAAACTCTCGCTCCGTACAGCAGTCAACCAGTAACTCCAAATCAGCCTTTCAAAATGGATCTCACAGAACTGGATCACATCATGGAGGTGCTTGTTGGGTCTTAAAAATATTAGAAATATAGCAACTTTTTTTTTTGTCTTTTTTCTTTCTTTTTTTTTTTTTTTTAATTTTAAGTACCAGTATATACACTTGGTAGTATTTCCATAGTCCCTCCCAGCCCCGATTCACAGCACTGTGCATGCATCCTTGCTTGCCTTTTTTGAAAAGAAAAGGATCACACTAGTTTTTGCTTCGAGCAGAGTTGGAGTGCCTTCATCCATGTATGACCACTTCTAATGTATTTTTTTTAAAGTGGTTCCTCAAGGAAGACCGAATATCCTGGTATAGGAAAGAATACGTATTGTAGACAATGTTATGTTATTACAAAAAAAAAAAAAAAAGAAAAAAAGGAAAAAAGGAAAAAAAAGGTAAAAGCTAAGCACAAGGATTATGTTGGGGAAAGCTGTAAATTGCATGTGCATACTTGTCTATTTTTTCTATAAGTTTTATTGCAAGAGGTAAAAAATTTTATTATTTAGATAATCTCAATACCATTTTAGCCCTGTATAGGTTGACTTTAGCAATTCAGCCTTTTGGAGGCATTAACCTGCTCCTCTTTAAGTGTTGCATTTACATGGCTGTTTAGAAACTGCTGCCCAAATTTATTTTATATTTTTGTACAGATTCTGCAGTTTATGGTATTGTTTTTTCTAAAAACAAATACTGTTTATACACACAAAAAAAATAGCTATTTTGATAGGATTTGCTCACATAGTTCCTGCATAATTCAGATGTACAAGAACCACTTGTACTTTTATACAGAGTTGTAATGTTTTATATGTGTATGGTGCAAAGAGAAAATTGGATCAAATAAGCCTGCAGTCGGTTTCCCTGAATGCAAACAAAAAAAAAAAGTGCTTTAAGAAAGGGCTGGGAGCTGCTTTTGCCGGAGTTTCACAAGTGTTTGCTCCCTGCTGTACCCACTGCGCACTACTGTGATTCCTGAAACTTAGAGCCATGTCCTTTCCAACACGTATGTGAAGCAGTTGGCAGGAAACAGTTGTGGAACTTCACCCCCGGAGGTCCTGAGCGCTGCCGTGGCCGCAGCTCCCGCCCGCCTTGCCGGGCCCCATCCCGCCCCACGTGGAGCCTTAACCCGGCGGAGATCGGCACCTCCTGACCCGGAGCTCCTGGGAATGGTGAGGGGAGCGCCGTGCCCAGAGCCCCCGAGAGCCAGCCAGCCTCCCGTGGCACCTCCCTGACTGACGGGCGCGGGCAGAGAGCGGGGCTGGGAGCGGCCGCTCGCCCTTTCTTGGAGCATTTCTCCTCCCCTCTCCCACCTCACTGTGCTAAGTGCTGAAAAAGGCAGCTTCAGTATTACTGCAGTGAAGCTCATCTCGTACCTGCACTGGATGGACTTGCTTTAATATCCATTGCTGTCGAAACTGGAGCCAGTCGTGTGACATCACTTGGCATCTCGTATAGAGTTGGGTTCTTGTATCAACTGCGTTACCTGCTTTACACTTTATAGACCCGTTTTACAAGGAATATACAGACACAGCTTTCTATGCATGGTCCCCTCCCTGTAACACCTGAGAAGTCTTCTTACTGCACCAATAGCTTTTTTTTTTTTTCCTGAGTTCGTTGTGGTGTACATTTAATTTAAAAAGAAAAAAATGTTTGCAATGTATCATGCCTATTGCTGAAGTTGCTATGGCATTTTAGTTTTCCAATGGTACTTTAGTTGTTGAGTGCCGGTTACAACCTGTATTGTTGACATGCCTATGGCTTCTTTAGGAATAACTTTTATATTTATTTAAGAAATTTTAAATTATGTTTTACGTCATTTGGCAATATTCAGTCGATTCTGCTCCCTTCTTGTCATGGATGAAATTGGGTCTTGCCTGCCTTTTGAGGAGGCGGCTTTTTGTAAATTGGCACTTTAAAGCAGGCCATATATATTTATTAGTATATAGATAGATGTAACGTAGGTATGCACACAGACACAGGATGAGAGCAAATACATTTTTGCAATGAAGGAACTCCTAATGGAAATGAAATGCATCATGTACAGCTGCAAAAGGCGCTTCTGGCTCCCAGCTCATCTGTCAGGGAGAGACAGGGCTGGGGGAGGAGGGGGGCACTAGCCCAGGGGCGTGGGTTTGCTTTCTTCTTTTTCCCAAGCTGAGCTCCGTGAAGCACTGGGGTGCTGATGGATTTGCAGTCACTACACAGACTAACAAGAAAGGAGGTTATGCTTCAAACGGAGAACCATTGACCAAGTGTAGCTTTAGGGACCAGGGGAAGGGAGGGTGGGGAGGGGGGGGACAGCTCCAGCTCCACCCAGCCCTTGTTCCACAGCAGTCCTCAGCCCTTGCAGGAGAACCCACGGCCTTTCTGTCCCTGCACCTCGAGTACTTGGGAACACAATCCTGCACAAACCTGGAACAGCACCAGTCTCACCCGGTAACTTGGTAGGCACTTGCCTTACCATTGTTAAAAACTGATTTGCAGGATGCTGGAGTCACCTGTTTTTTGGGATTACTTAAGTATTTACACCTGCATAAATATCACCTGCTAGGCAAAAGCTCCCATCAGTGCCCTTCTCAGAGACCTGTGCTGTTCAGGGGAGTCAGCTGAAGTGAAGTTTTTGTACCCAGAGAGCAGGAGCCAAGCTCCAAATCCAACCTGCCACTTGGGCAGTGTCTGTGGCTCCTTGGTGCTGAAGCACATGTCCTGGGGCAGAATCCCTGCAGGAATCCCACAGGACAGAAACATACTTGATTTGTGGGACTCAGCAGAAGATTGGGAAGGCTGCTGCAGGCCTGGGTCGAAGGGCTGAGCTGTGGCTTTCCCCCTGCCCAGTCACTGACTTGTCTCCAGCTGGGCCTGTGCTGTGGTCCCAACAGCAGCCAAGCATGGAATTTCTCTGAGACCTACACCAGGGATGGAGATTGACATTAACGTGCAATGAAGTGACAAGATGGGAGCAGAATAAGAGGGCTTTGGATTTGAAGTGATTTTTTTTTCTTAAATTATTTATTCTTTTTTTTTTTCTTCTGTAAATATATTTATTTTATTGTGAAGCTAACAACATCTGGATTGTAACATGTACAGAATGTATGGTAGGAATGTATCCTCTTGTAGGAATGTAAATCTGTATGAAAAAGGGTATGGGAGCCAGATTCAGAAAGAATTAATTGAGTTCCAGTCAGGATATGCATGGATCACAGGATTATTTTTTCCCTACACTCTTTTTCTCATATGGGTCTGGTTGTTTGAAATATGCAAAAAAAGGTATGGAGGAGGGACAGGGTTATGTTCAAAATTAGTTCTAATCAGGCTCCCACCCCCCACTGGCTGCTTGAGAGGGGCCTCCCTTGGCACGCTACTGGAATCTGCCACTGAAGGCAGGAGCAAATGCAGTCATCTCCATCGTGCTGGCCTGGGAAAGGTTTAGAAAAGATGGTTTTCCCCCTTATTTTTTAAACACACATGGGGGGCCCAGCAGAATTCCCTGGGGCCGGACGCCCTAGAAAGGGGCAGGATGTTCCCCCGGAGTTGTGCCAGAGCCGCGTCCTTGCCCGGAGCTGGGCCCGGCGGGACATCCAGTACAGCCCAAAGCCCGGCTCTGTGTCCGGCCAGCCCGGCGCGTCCCCACCGCCCTGGGAGCAAGGGAAGGGGAGCATCCCTGTTGGAGAGAGCGGCCTCGCAGCGCCGTCTGTGCGGGCATCGCTCCGGCACCGCCTGCAGCCCGCCCGGGAGCAACGCCGCCAGGAGCAATCACTCACTGTCAGGAGAGATTCGGACCTTGCGCAAGGTAATTCGGATTTTCCTCAACGCCGTGTGGTAAGAGCCTGGGTGGTTATTTAAAACTGATAATTTTGAATCCAAAGTTTACACTTTATTACTATTAATTTCAGTATATAGCAATGGGTCCTGTCTGACAAATGGTTTAATTCATTCTGGCATGTTTTGAACTTTTTGTTCTTGTTACAGGGTTTCTTTTGGTTTGGTTTTGTTCTTTTTTTTCCTCCCCCAACCCCCCCAATCAGGCTTCAGTATCCTGCTTCTGTGCAAGTTGCTTTCAATATTCTATTAATTAACGAGACTGAACATTTTAAAATAAATTAGTTATTTTTAAGCACTTTTTTCTTTTTCTGAAAATAAGCCTAATGCAAGTTCTGGAACCTCTTTAAAAACACAAATTTCAGATAAAATCCCAGCCTCAACTTCTATCTAGTTCTGAGTGTATTCCATACTAGTGCCTGCAAAGGCCAAGATTCTGGAAAAGGTGTAAATAGTGTGACATGTTCAGTGCATGGTTGTTTGAACAGGGCTTGTTATTGTCAAAAAAAAAAGAAAAAAAGAAAAAAAAAAGGAAAAAAAAAAAGAAAAAAAAAGAAAAAAGGCTGTATTTCCCCTTCCCCTCCCACAGACCTTAGAGCTGTGCCTTTTCTATGCAATATTACAGACATCTGAAACCAGATTACTGTATTCACATGTAGGTATGGGCTGTAATCAAAAAAACAATTGGACAAATGTACATGGAAATGAGCAGTCTTACTTTTGTAGTTTTATATTATACAATAAACAATTAAAATAAATTCTGGCTTTGTTCTTTCCCTCCACGAAGGAGGGCAGTCAGAGGAAGAAGACAAGACCCCATGAGGGCTGCAGGAGGAGGGGTGGGAGGTGTTCGCCCGCGGGAGGTGGCAAGGGACAGGGGCGGGACAGCCCGGTCTGACCCCGCTGCACCTGACAGAACAAGGGAAACGTCGCCTTGTGCGGGGCCTGCTCCTGCTGCGAGGCTTTTGTCCTCCCCGGCACAGAGAGGTGCCCGTGGTGGCCGTTCCTGGCCTGCGTGTGCCGAGGGATGCTCGGGGCTGGGGCGGCTTCCCAGGGAGCGGACTTGCCCGCTGCCAATGCACGGAATGCCCCGTCCTTCAGGCCATCAAATCCCAGCAGGAAACATCTGATACCTTAATCCGCCGCTTCGTTTATCAGTGCCCTCCTCCCCTCCCCACTCCTCCAGGTGCCTGGTGTTTGCTTTCAGGGCCAGCCG